TCTTAGTTGATTACAAACCGGAGTTCTATAACTATATTGATAAGGCAGTCAAGAATGATTTGTGATGAATTGATTACTTTGATATTTGATTTGACCTGATTACTCGAATACCTGGTTTAGCTATTGTTGTTCGTTTGCTTTAATTGATTTCTTCTTTTTCTTGCAATGCACGGATCGGCCACGGATCGATACTCGTACTAGCCACCCCGCAATCCCCACTTTACTACGCCCCTGATCTACATGTATTTTCCGATATTGCGCGGAAGAGAGTCGATACTTGGTGTTGCTATTTCGTAATCTTCAGTAATCTCCGTGACCTCATGCTATACAAGGGGGCAGACACTGTCGTACTTAGTTCATTGTTATTCTTCTGTTATCCACAAAATGTTTGGTTCACCGTCTTGTGCTCTTCCTAGATATCTGGCCCACGCTACCTCGACGGTACGCATGTAACGTAGGAACGCAGAACCAAAGATTCACATCGCCGCCTGGTAGACCGCGAAACGGTACAGGCGAGTATCATGTCTATAATCTACATCAATGGCAGTGTATAGTCTCAGCCGAGAGGAGCTTAGCAGTACATCGCACGTGCGCCTGTACTCCCTTTTCCAGGCGACACCGGCAGTGCACTGGCATACCCTCCTTCTTCGCTTGGTGATAGGGCTCCTTAGCAGGGGCTCTGGTCATCCGCACGGACGGAAGTATCGGCGCTGAGGCTATCAGCTAAACTGTAAGGCAGTCTGTGAGAAAGACTTGCGTTGCGCTTAACGCAGATCGATCGTACAATGGACCGTAACCAGGAGGTAGACATGGAAAGGTTATTTCTGGACGAGCGTCAAAGCAAAGTTGTGTATGAGGCAAACATTGGAGCTGGTCTCTGTTGTCTCTTCGCCGAGCGCCTGAAGTCCGCCAAAGGAGTTCATTACGACCATCCAGATGCCCTGGCCTGTCACGTGGAACTTGAACGCCATGTTGATGGAGGCTCTCATCATGGTGGGGCATATTGATGACCCGACAGCAGCCAAAGGCACGGAAGAGGTAGCGATTATCGCAGTACCTCATTATTCTGGCCGCGTGAACAACGAGATTGGGTATAAACATTCAGTGCGTTTACCTACTATATACAGATTTCGCGACTGGCACAGAAACTACTGAAATGCGAGACTACCAAGAAGATTATCATTGTTTGGCCAGGATATGCCCGAAAGCAGGGATATGCGTCAGTTGCTGATCAGTCTGGAACGTCATCTGCAAGATGAGGCACTTTGGCTATCGTACCCAGCCCCTTTGAGGAGATAACGCATCGGAATGACGCCGTATGGGAGAAATTTGCCGAGAATTTGTCGCTATCATAGTGACCCCAGTCGACGATTTGAGGCACTCGTACGAGATTACTATTCCGAAGTACTCGAAAACGCGACCTCTTGCTTAGGAACATCACTGCGCTATATGCGCGCCCTTCAACGAAAGAGAGCTTCCAACGTTTCTGCGAGTAACCGCCAGCGATCTCATTCGCCTACCCGCATTCACCATCGTAACTCAAGAAGTCCAAAAGAGAGACGCAGAGAGAAACAACAAAGAAGGAGACGTTGAAAAAAAGTTCATGC